GTGACCTTTTCTGAAGGGATTTGCCCATAACTACAGCCACAATCCTTCTTCCTCACAAGCCAACCAAATTCAGGCAATAGCTGTTGTCACTCCTTACACTGCTTTATCTACATGCAAATAGCAAGACAGATTTTTATTTAAACAGCTCCCTTTCAAATTTGGCTTTGGGAAATCTGTGAATTCCCAAATATTTGGGTCAAAGTGTGCACACACAGGGCCACAAAAGGACACGGCAGTCCTTAAGCTGTGGCCTTGCTGTAACAAAGACTTAAATTAAAGCAACCATCCTTTTTTCCCTCCCCGTGTTTTTGCAGTAGAGACATAAACACATTTTGCAGGTAGGAGAGGCATAGCACTTGCTCCCTCATCTTCCTGGCCACTCAACACCAGGTTTCTGAAAATCCTTTTGCACACTAAAGACAATATCTCATAAAGAACCCAAACAGAAATACGCTCTTCTCTCTGTTTTGAAGGTTACCTATGAATAGAATTATCCTTTGAAGGGGTTTGGGCTCTACTGGATTAAAAAGGACTATAGTACCCTGTATTGCATTGCCAAAGAGACCCATTACTGGTTTCTCAATGGCCAATCTATAACCAGTTCAGCCCAGTCCCAGCTCAGATGACAGTGCAGAAGATCTTCTGCAACTTGGTGAACTCGGCAATTAGCCCCTGAGCCCGGGGAGAGTTTGTCAAGATCCCATCTCAGGCGAACAATAACACAGAAATACAGCTTTGAGGGGGAGACGATTTATCAAGCTGACCACAGACGTCTCCCTCATTTTTTCTTTAATAAATCCAGCCTAGCTCTTGGCTGTGCTCAGTATCTTGTCATTGCTTTCGTCTCCTTTCAGGAATGCCTCCCACCTGCAAGTCTTCAGGCCCTTTGTGACCCTGGAGCCATTTATTTTCTCCAACATTTCTCCGTAAAGAAACCCAGCCTTTTCTCCCATGGAGGGGAGGGAAACCGAGGCACAGCAAAGCGAGCTGCCTGGCCCAAGTTCGGGAGGGGGACAGGAATACCTGCTCATTTGGGCTGGGCTGATTTGTACTGGCTATTTCATTATCTGCATGAGGAGCACCAGGAGTCTTTTGCTCCTCCTCGTGAGTAAGCTGTTTAGGAATTGCTTGGATGCTCTCTGCCATCAGATTTTAATCACCGGGAGTGCCTTCCTTGTGGTACTCCGTGGGGCTGTTCAGGCAGCCAGCCAAGCTCCTGAGAGCCAGGCCTCATCTAAATACACGTGCTGATTATTCTTAACAACAGCGGACAGACACCAGCTCAGCCCCAACCTTACCTCCACCTCCCGCTGCCAGCGCAGCATTTGTATCGCCATTTCCACATCCCAGTGGTCCTTCCAAGGGGGACACTGCAAGCTCCAGGCTCGAGTCCCTCTCCTCCAGTCCTTGGAGACGCTCCTGGGAAGAGCCACATTTGGAGACACACGGTTGTCCCTCCGAGGTCCAAGTGGGAAGGTCCGCTCAGGTGGCTGGCTCTCAGGAGCACCAGCACCGCGAGGCTGCTGGCAGATGCAGTTGCCTGTGCTAATTTCATGCCCATCCTCTTCACTCTCCGCAAAATTCCAGGCAGGCCTTCCACTTTGGCTGACATTCAAAACTGTCACCTCTCTGCAGACATTAACTTGGAGGCCTCTGTCATCCCTCACATTAAAATGCTATCACGGGGAGTCAGCACAGCTTGACTCAGCCAGCTAAGGGGCTGGCTCCGGCCGCGCTGCGGGGACAGCCGATTCACGCTTGACATCCATGGTCAATTTGACAGTGATGGACACGCTACTTAGGAGTCATTTGCTGATCTCGTTTCCCCAGGTGGGAGGTCGTGCCATGGAGCTGCCTTCCCCGAGGAGGAGAAGTGGTGATGCTCTCCAGCCTCTCTGGGAGCACAGATGTGTGTGGATGGGCTTTCCCGTCTGCTCGTTGAGCAGAAGATGATCTACAGAGCCTGCCAGGAACCCAAAATGCAGCTGCCCGATCTTCCACACAGTGAGGGGGCTTTGCTCACAAGCATCTTGCCCCTCCAAAAAGTCATATCCATTTCTGTGGACTTTCCCCAAATCCTTGCCAGAATGTGTTACTCCTGGGTTACTTCTTCCCTTCTCATCCAGGACAGGGACAAAGTCCTCAGTCTTCTCAATCACTGCTTGTGTTTTCTTATCCCACTTGCTCTTGGCACACATGCTGTTAAAGGCCACGATAGACTGCTTTCAAACCAAGACACACCTTTGCTCCCAGATAGGGTTTAGTCACTATATGCTGACCTTCCTTGTAGCAAAGAGATGCAGAGGATGATGCTCGTTAAGCTCTAAATCAGTTTTTAATGGACACATGCATCCTTCTTTTACCAAGTCATGTCTCAGTCTGGAGCTGCTCACTCTTGTCACTGTACATCCTTCCAAGCAGGCAATGATAAAGGCAGGCAATGGCCAGCAGCCCTCACAAGCCTCAGGGGAGCAATGCTCCAAGAAGGAGAGGGCTTTATAAAGCCTTCACCTTCCACCATGAGCCCCCAGGCATCATGGTAGGTGCACCCAGCCCTGGGATGGGTTATCATGGGGTATGTTGACATCAGAGCAACAGCTCCTTCAGTGCCCACAGGCCTCATGCACACAGACTGGGTGACTAACTCAGCAGATGCCTAACCCAAACAAAATCACACTCCCTACTTGACTGAACGCCCCTCAGCACCTGCACCTACTGATGCCCAAGCACATTGCTGCTGTAGCTCTGGTCTCATTACGTTAGAGACAGTAGTAGCCTCCTGTACCTCTGCATGCATCTCTAAAAAAAAGCCCACGTGCAGCTCAAGGGGTGCCAGCTATAAACCAACTTGGTTATTCTGATGCATAAATTCCAATTAAACCAGGGTGAGTTAAGGTAAACTAAAATACACAGGGAACTAGTTAAAGCTGACCTGAAAATACAAATTTCCATACACACACAAAGCCACAAGCCATCAGAGCTGTGGTCCCCTGCATCTTTATACCACAGGAGAGGACAAAGTACTTTTTTCTCTTTTTTTTTAAAAGAGCACAGAGTAGTTTAGAGTCTAATCACCTAAAAACTCCTTTCCACTTCTTATTGCCCTAGCACAGTGTCATTGGTAACACACTCAAATCCCAGGGCTGCAAAAGGTAATTACAGGAGGGGAACTCGGCCAGCTACTGCTGGGAACCTCTTCCCAACCTTTCCCAGTTCTGGGAAGCCTGAGCTGAGCCCCGTCCTAAACACCCTGTAAAACAGATGTCTTATGCAGCGTGCCCAGAAGGCCTTCCCCAAAACTAGGCTCTTTTGGACCAGACAAAGGAAGCAAATTCCAGCATCCTCCAGCCCTCGCAGCGAACATGGCTCCTTTGAGAGCGAGGCACGATCCAGCTTGGAGAGTGCCTCTCCCCACAGCTGGGGCTGCCTGGCTCTGGGACCGTGGCGTACTTTATTTCTGTCACGGATGCCACCTGTCTTGGATGAACAAGGAGACTGAGGAGTTTCATTCCCCCCAGAGATGCCCATCTAGTTGATCAACGCCCTCAGACTTTCTCTCTCAAAGGTCACCAGGCATCCTTGCACAAGATGGCTTGGTCTCTCCCCTCACCTCCAAGCTGCAGAGCTAACACAGCTGCCGAGGTGGCAAGGGTGGATGGAAAGGGACTGACTGACAGACAAGTCACAGATCTTAAGGCTTCAAAAGCAAAGCCCCAAGCCCTAACATTGCTACTGCTCTGCCTGCTGAGCAGTGAGGGTCTCCAACAGCCAGGGCAGCCTGGCTCTGCTCCATCAGCCCCATCCCTAGCCGAGGACTGCACTCGCCTCCCGATTACTTGTTCGGTCCTTTTATGGGTAAGATCATTTTATAGCAGGGTCTGGTAGAGTACTCAGCTTTCCCTTCCAGACTCCAGCAGAAAGAACTTGACCCGTGTCCTCAGACCCTCTTAGTCATCGAGCCGAGCCGCCTCTCCCCTCCTCCCACCACCCTCCTTTCTTTTATGGAGTAGCAGCAGCAGCAGAGCATGGGGTGAGAAGTCAAGGGAAGGACAACTTGACTGATGGAGCTCAGGTTGTGGGGTCAGCGCAAGGCGTCGTGATCCGGGCTCAGACAGAGCCATTTCCTCTGTGATTTTATCCGCTGCGATTTTTATCTTTCGTCTGTTCACACGTCATGCCACCTGGACATAATACAGAGCAAGCTGAGAGCTTGGCTCCAGACTTAACCCCTTCCCTACCTCCCGGGAAAGCAGGAGGCCCCAGGCACGGAGCAGTTCTGAGCCTGTGGCTTTGCCCAGCAACGAGGGGCGTTTCTTTACAGGCCCTTTTTATTGCCGTGAACATCTGTAAGTGGCAGGTTTATCCTTCTCTGCTGACCCCACGGACAATGTTAAGATTTACCCACAAACTTCACGTTCTCAACAGCATTCATTAGAGGTGATTTTTGGTGTTTGTTTCAGGAGAGACATGCTAGTTTCAGTTCCCACTCTAAGCCATGCGAGCACAGCCCCGGTAGCTTGCAGCGAGGGCTCCTCAGGTGATAGTGCAGACATAAAAGGCAGGCAGAAACAATTTCCTCTCACTGCACAAAAGGTATCCAGCCTTAGCAGCTGCTTAAACAGGGCTGGGGTAATGAAGACCAGTCCTCTGCTCCACTGAGCCCAAACCCAAACCGTGGGTGGAATTAGGTGGCATCTGACATGAGCACAGGTGTTCAGACCAAGCTACACTGAGTTGTACCAAGAGCAAAGAACACTTTTAATGTCTGCAGGGAAATTGGCAATAACTGCCCTACCAAAGTCTCAGCCATTGAGCACGTCAGATCTAAAACCCTTTAAAAGGCAGATGAAAACCATCACACCCATTCTGTAGGTAAGGACCAGCACAAGGAAGGAAGGGGAGGAAAGGGATATTAAACCCAGGACCCGTCCCAAATGCCATGTCCCCAGCTACAGCACATAATACCTTACTAACCATTCCATAACCAGACATCCCCTCACCTCCACAGGCCGGGCAAGAGTCCAAGTGTCCTCACACAATATCCATTGACCTTCCTTTCAGATCCATGTAGCATCAAATCCCATGGTGCAAACAGGATGCAGCTCCAGAGGGATCCACACGGGAGACCCAGCCTGTAAGACACGGTGGAGAGGGCTGCAGGAAATCTGATGACCCCCAACACACGTACCACTGTTCTCCTCCAGACAGGACCCACCTTCCCAGCCCTCCGCCTTTCCTGGCTCCTCCAAAGAGCAGAGGGCTAGTTCCCGCATCCGCCTAATTCCACCGTGATAAATTACCACCGGATGGGACAAAAGTAGAAACTCCTTTGAGCGTAGGGTATTTTAAGGTGTTTATGTGGGTTTTTTTCCAAATTTCTTTATTTGTTTCCTTTCTTGCTCCTGGTATGATAACAGGAGAGATAGTCGGAAACTCCCTGTTTAGATAAAAAGTCTAGGGAAAAATAAAAAACGCAGCTAGCAACAAAAACTGTACAGATCTTGAGGATATTTTTATTTTAATTTGTGCTTCTTAAAGCCAGTGACCTCAATTTCTGAATTAGTTAAAAAAATCCAGACAAACCAGCAGATTCTCAAATAAAACCCTTCTGGCTTTCACGTGTGGCTCCCAACTAAGCAATCTATGGGTGGCAAGAGGCAGTATTTTAAATGGCCCTTTCACACCAAATCAAAGCATCTTAGAAGGAGCTGGAACAAGTTACAGTCCTGGTTCTCTTTCAGAAGGTCTATGGTAGAGGGAAGGGATGACTTGGTTTCTCAATAAACCGTACGCACAGTGAACACATACGAATGAATTTCAAAAGGTTAAATAATTCTCATGCAGAAAGTCAACTCTCTTTTGACATTAAGAGACTCCTTTATTTAGGGCAGTCCCTACATCAAGGGCTGCCAAAAGCCAGGTAGATATAGTGGGAAGGATCTGTCCCAAAATGCCCAGTTTTCATACGCTCCCAAAGCATCTGCTCTTGGCCACTGTCAAGCAGAGTTTTCTACATCAGAAATGATCCATCCAATTTGGCAGTTCTTATTTTTCTTACAGGCATAGAGAGCCAGGCATACAACTGACTTCAAGAGAAATGGGCCCATTTGGCTACATATCAATGTTCACCCAGTGAGTGGTGCATCAGCTCTTTGAGACAGGGACCTTCTGTGCCTGTACACCACACAGCACAGCGGGATGCTCAGCCACAAGAACTCCCACAGCCTCTGCACATGCCCAGGTGTATGAACCTTAGCTGCAGTATAAGGGCTGTAGTCCCAAGCTTTACCCTACACTAACTTTGCATAAACCCTGATTTGCCACAGAGTTTCCTTCTGTGGAAATACCTCTTTTTCCCTTGCACAGGAGACTGGACGCACAAAGAAGTTTGACCCTGGCGTACCTACTTCAATCCAGTCTTCTGCCTTCTGCTATCTTCAGGTAATTCTCTTCACCATCTCCCCTCTCCTTTAACTGTTTGCATCAGTCGCTCGCTCCCTGGATTTGGCCTTGTAGCACATCCCCAGAGATAAAAACATTCCTGCCACTCTGCACCAGCAAAGGCACAGAGGCCTGATGGTCAAGCACCTGCATTCAATATTCACATTCCCATAAATGCTTCTCTCCATACACAGAAAATAATTCTGAAAAAAAACCAGACAATAAGAACAATTATACTTTCTCCTTCTGGACTGGGGACAGACTCCCATTCCCACCACTTCTTCCCTTCTTCCAAAAATGACCTTTCTGGATTTTACTTTTTTTTTTTTTTTTTTTTAAAACCCTTGAGTTTTTAAAACATTCAAAAGGGGATTGTCCCAAGTTTGAATCTGTCTCCGGGGTTGAAATTGTGACG